CAGACCCAAAACCTTCTCAATCAGCTCGAGCTCAGAACAAGACGACGGTTGGGGGGAATTTCCTGGGGGGGGGGGGGTTGATGGCTCTGAAAAAGCGGAAGGAAAACACAGAGGGCCACACCTCAATGCAGTCAGTGAGTCAATACTGTGGTTTTTGAAGAGAATAAGCATCAGATTATCCGACAAACTTGTCACTTTAATGGCAGGTATTAGCAGGATACGAAGGAATGATTTGTTTGAATATTCAATTCATTTTATTTTGTATAGAAGAAAATCACAAATTTTCCTCAGAGGGCTTTACAGTCTGTACACATACGACATCCTCTGTCTCAAAACCCACACATCGGCACAGGGAAAAACTCCCCAAAAAACGAAAAAAAAACCTTCCAAGAGTGAAAAAAAGGGAAGAAACCTTAGGGAGAACGTCAGAGGGATCTCACTCCCGTGATGGACAGACTACAATGGATGCCATGTTTACAGAATGAACAATGAGCAATTCTTATGACAGAAATTATTCAAGTAATTGTGAGTAGTAAGCCAGGCGCACAGCAGGACCAATGCAGGGACAACCACCATCCACAGAAGCCTGTGGGTAGGGAGAGCACAAATACTTTGAGAGGGTAATGTTGGTTTATGATTACTGACAAGGGCGTGTGGCGGAGCCAAATGCAGCACAACGGCACGGAGTGTTTGGTTAACGCTTTTATTGAACACGGCCTCACAGCAGGCGTTCGGGCACAATGAGAGGCAGAGCAGAGTGCGGTCCTCAGGATCGGGGAGGAGATGCCGGGAGACAGCTGGTGCGATCGCTGGGCCGGTCGGGGATCCGGAGCACAAGGGCAGAAGCGCCGGGCAGTCCAAGGGGCAGGCAACAGAAACCCGAGGCGCTCAGGCAGGACTCGTGGTTCGGGGACAGAAGGCTGACGTGCTCACCGGGGGCGGAGACAGACGAACGGGTCGGGACAGGCAGGGTCGAAATCGGGAGATCAGTCCAAGGTAGGAGTGCTGGGAGGGACTTGCATGACGCGAAGAACCAATCTGGCAATGACAGGCTGGGTGTGCAGTGCTTATGTAGCGGGGCTGATTGTGAATGCGAAGCAGGTGTGGAAGGCAGGTGACTGATTGTGGATGCGGGGCAGGTGTGGACGATCGAGCTGGCAAGTGAGTGTGACAATTACAGTAATATCATTAATATTTCAAATAATAATGATGATTGCAGCAGCAGATGCCAGCAGGGCCATGGCAGGTGCCCGGACCAGAAGGAACTACGATCGACAGAGACCTGCTAGGGGAGAAAGCACAAAAAAAACCCGGAAATAAGCTGAATTAGCCATGTGCATTAATAAAACGTGAATTATTGTAGAATGAGAGCGTGAGAGAGGAGCTCGGTTCGCCTAAGAAGTCCCCCAGCAGTCTAAGCCTATAGCAGCTTAACTAAGGGCTGGTCCGAGCTAACCTGAGCCAGCCCTAACTATAAGCCAAATCAAAGAGGAAAGTTTTAAGCTTTACCTTAAAAGAGCTGACCAAATCTGCCCCCCGGACTGAAAGTCAAGCTCTTTAAGATAAGACGGTGCCTCACCAGCAAGTGCCTTGTAGGTGAGGAGAAGTTCCTTTTAAATTCTATTCCTGATTTAACAGGGAGCCAGTGCAGAGAAGTTAATACAGGAGTAATATGATCCCTTTTCTTAGCTCTTGTTAATACACGTGCTGCAGCATTCTGAATCAACTGTAGAGGCTTAAAAGATTTACAAGAGCAGCCTGATAATAAAGAATTACAGTAATGCAGTCTGGAAGTAGCAAACGCATGAACTAATTTTTCTGCATCACTTTGAGACAGGAAGTTCCTGACTTTTTATATATTACGTAGAAGGCAGTCCTTGAAGTGTTCTTACATATGTATATGAGAGTTGAAGGTCATATCCTGGTCGAAGAGAACTCCCAGATTCCTGACGGTGCTGCTGGGTACCAGAGCAATTCCATTCATAAAAACTGTATCACGTGACAGCTGGCTTCAAAGGCGCTCTGGGCCAATCAAGATTACTTCTGTTTTTTCTGAGTTTAGCATCAGCAAGTTGCCGGTCATCCAAGTTTTGATGTCTTAGACATTCTTGAAGTCTAACTAGCTGGTCGGTCTCTTGTGGTTTGATCGACAGATACAGTTGAGTATCGTCTGCATAACAAAGGAAGTTCATGCGGTATGCTGATAAGATCGCCCAAAGGAAGCACATAGAGGGTAAATAAAATCGGTCCAAGTACATAACCTGGTGGGACACCGTGACCAACATTTGTGGTCTTCGATTCACAAGCACAAACTGGGATTGATCCGATAAGCTACCAATGTCAGATTTAATTCTACTTATTAATTGCTCACTGCTTTATTGACAAATGTTATGATTGTTGATAAATGTATTTCCAACAGATAATGCGTTCAATATGAGACGACGTGGAGTCTTTGTGTAAACACTTGTACTGTGTTTTGATGTAGTACTCAATCTGCCTTGTGGGGATTCAGTGTGGACACAAATCAATAGGATTTTTCAAGTAAGAAATGAGCTGAAACATGAACAAATAGGCTTTATGCTAAAATCAGGGACATAATAGTCCCAAAATAGTTCAACCATTTGGTCCCATTCATCCTCATTAACTCAGTTGCCCCCTGAGTGCAGAATGAGGCTGGTCCTGTGGAAACACCATGATATAACAATTAAGAAGTCAGTCCGTTATGCTTCTCCCAGGAGGTCATGGAGTGTGAAACAGTAGCTTTGGCCAAGAATGGATCCTAAACACTGGTACACACAACATTTTTCACTTACGGAAACCGACGTTGATAGAGGTCTGTGCTCTCCAAGTGACCAGCTTGTAGTTGTAATTGAATTGCAGCAAGAGAATTTGCTTGAGGAGGCCACATTAATCCGGTCGCGTTTGGTTTGCTGAAATTTGCAAAACAAATGTGCAATGTTGACCCAATGGATCCTTTAATATATTGAAGCCAGTATGGATGGTGGTGTCAACATATCCATTTATAACACAAGTTCAGGTGAACATACTCCTTTTTTTAACATCGAACAATGATGTTCAGAAGAAATATGGTCTCTAAGTTACTTTTTACCTCTTAATGGCATAAAAAGAAGTCGGAGTAGGGAGGAAACCAATTAAATTCTCAATGAGAACAAAGAGAACCAACAGTGAGTGACAGGGTCAAGGCCGAGGAGACGCTGAGTGGTGAGGCAGAGGGACGGGCGAGAGTGACATTTTACACCGGCATCATGTTCACGAGACAATGCTCCTCGAATCTGCGCTCCGGACATCCCAAAGGCTCTTCTGTGAAATGCATGAGGTTAACTTTGTTAGAAATACACAGGGTTACTGATGAGAGATGCCAGACTAAAAATGTACAGCTCAAGTTCTGCAACGTGAAGCAGTACCTGAGCCAAGTACTAACCTAGGATTACTAAATGCTCTACTGACAGCCCTAATACTCTGATCATAAGCACGAGAAATTCTGTAATAGTCACCATCTTAGTTGATCCTACCAACATCTGCTAGAGCTAAACACAAAGCGTAGCAAAGTCTGATGATAAATAGTGTTTAATGTTTGCGATAGGTGTTGTCCTCTTGGATTGTCCTGTACGATCCTCTGTAGCAATGCATTCAACAGCTGTTGAAATACCAACAGGTCCCCCTCAATCAACACATCCAAGCTGTCAAGTAGGAGAAAGAGGCCTTAACTAGCAAAACCTTGTAGCTTTCAGTGCCACGGCTTTTCTTTCGTGTCTCTAATTTGTATTCTCTGAATGAGAAGTGAGTGAGGCAGCACTGGAAGACTATTTGAAAAACTAGCCTCCGTGTCACTGGGGGAGAGTTACATCATCTTTAATAGAAGGCAGCTTGAACCAGGCTGATGTGGCTTTCCACAGAAACATGCGTTATAAAAATGTGGAAACTCTGCCCGGTCCAAAGTCGGACAATAAAAGGCTGAAATATCTGGGGTCCGTTTTTTTTTTTAATTTGTAAAATAAGGATGCCAGCTCAGAAACAGTCTGGGCCTTAATGTTTTGATTTTCCAAGATTCACGGGAAAGCCACAAACATAATTTATAATACACGGAATTTTACACTGAGTAAGAACAGCGAATACCGTGTAGCAAATAGAGAACGTGATGAACGAGGATAATGATGTCATTTTTCCAAGAAACAGCTGCACAAGCACTTTCCTATATTGTTTGCAAGGTGTCAGCTCGGCCATTACCAGTGTGTGAGCAGTTGAAATGTATTGCACACTTCAGTAATTACACTAAATAACATAGATATTAGTATTACACCTATTACCAGCTGGAGTGTTTAGTGGTAGTTTTATTGTCCACACAGTCGTTAGTCTAGTCAGTGAGTGCACATGGCGACAAAGACGCGTTTAATCGTATAGCTAGTTTTAACAACCACGCAATTCAAAGCACTTTACATAATATATTGAATATATATTTGGCTGACCAACTTCATGGAGACATTTAATGGCAATATATTCACTTATCTGTGCCGGCCATTTTGGAACATAACGAGCAGCCACTAAACAACAAAGGAAGAAAAAAGGCAGAAATTGGCATGCAGAGGCAAATTACTTCTATAAGTACAGGCCAAAGGCCTCCTCTCAGTGCTTTGAGGTGAAGATCCTACATAAGAGATAACTGGACTTAATTAACCCTTAAAAAGGATTGGAGGGTGGGGGGTAAATCTAGCCCTAATATAATGTATGAATGGTTTCTGAGGAACAACATGGATATTAACTAAAGGGTAAGGAAGATCAAATGTAGTAAACCTAGCAAGAAGCTGAGCTTATATCATATCGTGAGTGTCATGGGGTGATAGCCAGAACGAAGGTTGAACTCAAAAGCAGGATTCAGAGGATAAGAAAAAGATTTTATTTTGGCAGCAGAGGGATTTAAATAGTTAATTCGGGATCCGTGGCTGGGGAAGACGCTGGAAAGGCAGACAGGCACAGGGGTCCAGGCGGCAGGAGCGATGCAATAGATAGAATCCACGCTGGAGGGAGAGGTAGTGATCCGGCTGGCCGGAGGGGTTCTCCCAAGCCGCGGAGGGCGAGAGGGGAAGCCGGGGAATCCGTCAGGTTCCGGGAAAGCAGGCTGGGACGAGACTGAAACACGAAAAAAGGTCAGTGCAACACAAAACTCTTTCTTTTGAAAATCAGTCTCGAGTGAGAGCTGGCCAAGTTACCACTAGGAGGGCAAAACGATCTGGCGAAAACAGGTGCTCCTGCTGTTCCTTAAGAGGGGTTCCTGACGATTGTATATGCAGGACAGGTGTGACAGCAGGCAGCCACGGACTCCGCCCAGGTAACCGGGGAAACCTGCTCTCCCAGCCTGAAACTCAGAAACCACACCTCCAAAGCCAAGTCAGATCATGACAGGGAGAATATGTTTGTGCTCCAGTTTATCATCTTGTCCTTTAGTTTACAAAGCCAGCTTCACCTCAGGATAAGCTAGAGAAGAACATTATTCTATTATTAAAATTATTCTGAGACACATGTTGAGAAAGAAAATGATAATGATAGAACAGGAAAACTAAACATAATGAAATCAATATTTTGCATGCTGCTGCAAAACTACCGCAATATATATTTCGTGCGGTTTTACAAGAAGAAATAGCACATGAATTACTCTAACTGTGATTGCAATTCATTTAGTTATTACCACTATTCCCCAATGTCAAAATGCATTATAAAAATTACATTTATTTTTACCCAAACAATGGTTAACTAGAGCTAAAGAAGAGATATTTGCAATGATTTATTGCAGTTAATGATGGAATTTTCAAATGCCGATCTTTATGCTCTGTGTCACGGATTGACCAGGAGACCGACTGGAGTAAGTAAAACCGAGTTTATTTGACAACCATCCAACAGAGAGTGGAGCAACCCGACAGGACTTCAACAGGTAAAGAAGTGAAGCTCCTGGCAGTGTGTTCAGTTCTATTGAATATGTTTGTAAGGGTGCATTTGCGTACCATCATCCCTGACCTCTGTGTAGAACATGCAGATGAGCACCTGTCTGCCAAATTTCAAGTCAATCGGTCATCGGTGGCAACAAGTAAGCCAAATGGCAACAGTGCCAAATGTTTAGGGGGCGCTATAGAGCCATGTGTTCATACCCAGATGCGCCACCCCAAAAATATCTACATAGTTGATATTCTGATGGACTCAGGCCCATAATGCGTAGGAATAAGGAACACTAATTCCTCGAAATATGACATGTTCCTCTAAGACCACAATTAAAGTGTCGCAACATGCTGAAAATGCACACAAACACACACCTGCACAAACACACACACATAAACACCCACCAGTATTTTGATATCTAGTAATGACGAACAGCAGTGATTATCCACCGGGGGAATAATCAGTTTCACATCATAAAACATAATACGCACCTGATAGTCACTGCATTTTAAGTTGTGTGTTTTGATCTTGGGCACCACGGTGGTGATCGAGGACACTGTCGCCCATATCAGGAGCCCCTGGGGCTGAAACCGCCCATGTTCTCCCCGGCTTCTTCCCACAGTCCAAAGACTTGCTTCTGGGGGGGTAAGGTTAGTTGGTGGTTCTAAATTGCCTGTAGGTGTGTGGATGTGAGTGTGAATGGTTGTTTGTCTCTCCATGTTAGCTGTGATTAACTCCAGCCCCCCCGCAATCCTGTATGAGGGATAAAAAGGTATAAGAGATGACCGACTGTTTCCATCTTGGCATGGAATGTTTCATAAATACGTTCTACGGAGACTGAGAAAATGCAAAATTTGCGTCTCTGATGCTTGACTGATATCTTCACAAACTTTATTGATTGTTTGATCAGGGTCTCCCTGGACTCATCACATTGACTCATTATCTCCAATATTTCAAATGTGTTGTTGGAATGGAAAGAAAAACAGTGATTGTGGTAGCAACAGAATTTAGATATGGAATAGAGAAAATAGTTTCCATCAAATGACTAAAGGAAAATATACGCAAAATATTACAATCATTTTCATTTTGTATTAAAAAAAAGGAATCTGCAACTTTCAATCACTTTGTGATTAATATCCCTGGATGAATAAACACATTGGTACCGGTGGTAAATATTCAGATGAAAAACAGTCCACTCCATTGGTAATGACAAGCATAGCCCGGTTTGTGGGTCCATGCTGGCTTATCTTTATGAACTAACACACATGGCCCATTCGGTTTCAGCCAATTGGACCTAGGAGGAATTTGCTAATTATCAGGCAGCATTTACCTTGCGGGGATTAAAACAGTTTTAATTACATTTTAAAAATCAGCACTCAAACGCAGAACCAGACAAACACACACTTACACACGCCAGCACTGCTCTACATACTAATGCATCAGACCAGGTTTAATTTGACTCTGAGGCCTGAGGGAATCATTGAGAGTCAGGTTATTCAGCACACATCCTCTTTCATGTGCTCAAAATAATGAAGATGATAATCTAAAACAAATTTCTTCCCTTTGCCCAATGGTTACGGAAGGGTGTGCTTCTGTATATGGGCATGAGGTTTGAGATGGCAAAGGATAGATGGTATTTCTCTCCCCAGATGCTGATTTATATACAGCAAAGCAGAGGCCAACATGTTGGGGTAAGGGCATCCGGGTAAACCTTGCAGCTACGAGTATCGTGCACACATCAAACATTATCCTGAGGGCAAAACAAGCTTGAAAGACTTGCTCGGTCTACCTTACAACAATGTTAAACCACGATAGGCAATCAAAGTGCATTACCATTATGAGGCTGTTATTCCATTCCGTCATGAGGGAGACTTAAACATTCCCTCCCGCAGTATAAACAACTTCTCATAAGCACAAATTGCTATTCAGCAATACTTATACTTCAGAGTTATACAGTAAGCTCACGTTGTCCACCTGCTAGTTGCTATGCTGATATTATGCAGTGAAAATGCATACAGGAGAGTGAAACATCTGCTAAATGAAGCTCTTTTGGCCAGTGTGCCGTATATTTTTTGCTAACCTATGATTTTGAACGTGTGTTTTGCAAGATGGTTCTTTGTGCCATTAATGAATTATTCATGGTGCAGTAAGAAAGCGACTACCACATACCATCACTCCCACACATGTTTTAAGGACACTCTTGAAGGTGCAATGAGTAATGGCTCCCCATATGCTCCAAGAAATATGGGGGGCAGAATCTTCACCTCTACTGTATAAAATCCACATTTACAGTTAGTTGATTTTTGTTTCAAATAATGGTTAACTAAACATTAGGCAGGCAACAATTTGAAGTTTTGAGAGCCATTCAAATTAACGACACTTGATTAAAGTCTTCACGTGATCGCTCAGCATGCTCAGTTTAGACTGCAGGAGAAAGAAAGCAGAGACATTAATCACATTAAAGTGAGTGTATAACAGTTGAGTTTTGTGAGTGAGGGAGAGTGGGAGAGTAAAACCATTGTGCGGTCAGACAGGTTAGTCTTTGTTCTTTGACATCCTGGGTGTCGGGATCTTTTTTCACAAAAGCCATTAGTTATTGTAAGTGACTTTGGATGGAAAGCTTCAGCTAAATGACAAATTAACTGTACATGTAAATGTCACTATAGCAGTCAGGTGAAGTAGTTGTGGTCACAAGGAGGCCGAACGGGTAAAAGGAGCAGAGGTCGATGAAAAACGTATCTTCACAAATGTTTGATTACAACGTAGTAAAAACATTACATCAAGTTATGAGGTATCCTGTGGATTCATTCATGAGGTTCAGATGGAGAACTCTTAAATTGACAACTGTTAATGGCATGTTGTTGCTACCGAAGTGGTGAGACAATCCAAAGGTAGAACATCGCCCCCCGGGTGAAATACTGCATTTTGCAAACTGAAGACAAGATGTACCTTGAGTGCCAGAATACTTTTTTCAAAGAAATCCCAAAAAATGTTTGGTTTCCCCACACATTTCTCCTGATTCCCTTTCTGTCTCTAATCTTTATTTTCTGTGTTTGCTTTCCTGTGTTCTCTCATGTCCATTCGTCATCCCGTCCGCTTGGAGTGGCAGACAAATGAAGCCTGGAGTGTCATGCAAGCGTGAATAATGTAGTGTAATAGTGTTTTCCTTCCCTGTGCAGACACCTGCAGCTGCTAATCTGCACACCAACGCCAAAATGCACCTCGAGGCTAACGCACACAATTATCCAGAGACAATGGAAACAAAGTCCTGAGCAGATTCATTAGCAACTTTATCTGACTGTGGCACATCTTTCTTCTCCTCTGCAGCGTCCTCTCCCTCTCTCCTACCCTAGATCCCTCTCCAGAGACACGGAGTGGGCTTGAGGTTGTTGCGACACAAAGGAAGATGGAAGACATTGGGGTGAAAGGAGAGTTAGCTTGGTAGACCCAGTAAGGAAATAAAGCAAGAGCCACAAATAGCAAAAGAGAGAAGGATTGGATTTGTTATTTTCCCTTCCCTTCCCTGCCCAGTAACCCGTGGGACTGGAACTCACCCCAGCATCGCAACCCTAGAGACTCTAAAGTCATTGACTGCAAGGGGCTAGGAAATAAAGTGAATGACTGTCCATCTTTTGATCCATATGGCTTCTAGTGTTTGTACTTTTTAACATCTTAACTAAAAAATAAACACATTTTACCAAAAGGAGCCGTATTCTGTAAAAAATTTTACAAAATGTACAATGTACCGTGCAAAAAAAGGTTGCCATGCACTTTTACTGATCTACCTAGAAATAGAACGGGAGGAGATAGATGCCTGTTGTATACCTATGATGTGCAATATATAATATAATGGGCTCAGAAACTTAAACTATGTACACAAAAGAATAACTATTTCGTTGTGTAGCAATATCAAACTTTTGAACTTGTAAGTGCACATTCACATTCAAAAACTGTTGCGGTTTTCCTTCTACATTCTCAAAAGAGATATATTCCAATAAAAAGAAAACTAACTAAGATAACTTGTATATGATGAGTTGATGTTCATTTAAATCAATTTTGTCTTAATGTTTCCAAATTAAACATCAACCGTTTGGGACATCTGGCATTGAGTTAAATAAAGTCACCTGAAAGCAGCAAATAAGTGATTCAAAGCCACACCTGTTCTGTAGATCATTTACATTTTGAGACACACAGAGAGAAGAATCTAATCATCTGCTGCAATTTCACTAAAACCTTTGCCATTGGATGTTATTCATTAAGGAGATGCATTTTTGTTTCGATCCAATGTGATGCACAGAGAGATAACAAGTCTTTTTCAGGATTCAGTCAACTGAATTAAGAAAAGACATCCGTGTCCTCGTTATTAAGTATTTTATTTCAGCTGTCATTAAATATTACCAAAGTAGGACAGCCATTCAACGAGATAGGATAGCTGTTTGTTTCACTGTGTTCACACAAGCTTCATCTCCCAAGAGAATCAACTGTTGATATCGTCAAGAAAGGTGAAAAAAACCTTGACATACCTGATAGATCTATGATTGTGATGTCGGTCCTTCGAGTCTTCGCACCTCGACAAGGTAAGATTCCTCGACATAATTAAAGGTTCAATACACATGATTCACAGCAAAAATTATAATATCAATTAACTGTTTGCAATGTCAGTAATGGCATCCCTAAGCGGAGAATTACGTGTCTCTCCCTCTGTGTGTTTTCTATCTAAGCTACTCTGCGTTGTTTAAATTGCTATGCCTGCAGATTGTGCATTTAAATCCTGGATCTGTAGTAAGAACTGTATTTGGACATTTTTCCAGCGGGAGGATCGGGGCTTCCTCTGCAGGCACCAAAGTCATTTCTGAATCTTATTTTGATTGATTGATTTGTTTGTTTTTTTTCATTTGAGATTTTATGTTTGCTAAAGTTTGTACAGTCATCATTATGTTGAGATTACAGGAGGAGCAGGTGTGGCCAATAGGAGAAACACTATGGTGGATATTCAGTGGGCCGCATGCGCTGCAGCGCGACCCTGCAGCGCGACCCTGCAGCCAGGATTTTTGCCATATAAGCCAGGAAAGCAACTCTGAAATGTAGCAAAGAGGAGCTACACTGACTTTTTTTTTTTTACCCAATACCTCCTCTCCAGTGTCAAGACGCCTGGAAGGACTCACCAAGTTCAATTTGAAGAAATATTACAAAGAAAAGCACTTTGTTTCTAGTAGAACCAATTTAAAGATTGTGCACATTCTTCTGTTTTTTATATTTTAATATATTTCTCTGGCAGGCAACGACTCCTGGTATCGCCAATGTTTGATCCGGTTGTGCTGAGCTGAGCCCAAAGATTAGGAGCTCAATTTGACACCAATGAACCTTGATGCAATTTGTATCTCGTGCTTTGTGTATTTAGCTTCCACTCAAACTTTGCACCTTCATTTAACTGAGAAACTGTTTAAGGGTGGAAGGGGCGGGCATTGCTGTTGGAGAGTGCATTTTTGGATTACTTTGCACTTTGTTAATGGGTCATTCAGTCGCGACGTCTGAAGGCAGGAAAAAATCCCTGCATAAGTAGAAACCTATGACACGAGTTGGAGGAATGGATACACCAAAGAAAAAATATACGATGAAAAAATGAAAATATTTCTATTTAGTGCACTGGACATGATGAGTTTCAAACATTGTGAAAATAGCATGCATTGTTTGTACCATTGCAAATGGTAGACGGACTGCATCGGCATTCAACTTTTAAACACAAAGGAGCTTTATAAATTGCCTCCACCCAGTGGAGTTCAGTGTCTTTCTCAAGGACACATGCAGATAGATGGAGCAGGGCATCTGATTTCCAACTGTGAGCTTTCAATGCCTTGGTTCAACTGCTGTGTGTAGAACTATGAAAAATCTGCCTCGTGTACGTGTTTTTATCGTGTCCAGCTTGCCAACTTGCATGTGTTGTAATAAATATCAACTTTTCTTCTATTAGCCAACATCACACATATTAGTAGTTTTCTTTTGTATTCATCTGTAATGTGATTTTACTGGTTGTGTGCTGTAAATCAACTTTTGTTTTGTAAAAAGCAGCTGGATGTGGTTTAAATGTTAAAAAAATGTTTTGTCTTTAGTTACAGATACGTTACTGCAGCCATATGTTGTTGGTCACTTACATTCTTATGTCAGACTGTTAAACAAAGTACTCCTTCTCAGTTAAAAGTCCTCCGTCGATGTAAATCGCAAAATCAGAACATGGTCATGTCTTTTTTTGGCCTCTGCTTTGAAAATGGCGCACCTATGATAAAAAGTGAAATAACTAACTACTTTGTCTATCTGTACATTTTAACCCCTGTGAGCGTTTTCATTATGAATAATGGGTTTATATCTTACTGGTAAAGAAATAAATAATATGGCACACAAAAAACAAAAAAACAATCGCCTGAAAAAAACAGCTAATAGGGTATTCAGCCCCATATAAAACATGGAGATGCCAGGCAAGACATTGGGTTTATTAGTATTTTTATACATAAATGTCATTCTTCTTTCAATTCTTTCAATTACGTACATGACATAAAGTGTATTATGTAACCCAAATGAATGGAAATGAGATATGCAAATAAAATACATAAATCCTGATTACTCGTCCTAAATATTTCTGTGAGTGTTTGTGAAAAAAGACCTTAATAGCAGCCGTTCCTTTATTTTCATGAATATCAGATTATTGGTGCATTCTGTGGTTTTATCTTCATTGCATCTTAAGTGCAGGATAATTCAGTTTAGAACGAGCCTCTTTCCGTCCTCAGGACAAGGACACTCATGGAGAGGACTCAGGTGAAGTATCCTTCTTTTTTACTAATTTTGACTTATTGTGACATGTTAAAATTGGATCAACTTTTCACAAAATATGTAGAGCGTGATTTCACAGCTTTCAGTATCAACCAATCAATGTGTCAAATTTGCTCTCCACAAATGCAATTCTCAAATCAGCTGCAACCTCAATAAATTTATACTATCTATAGACCATTTGGAAATATAATGATGGTGCAGAGTCAATGTGAGAGCCAAAAATGGTCTTATTGATTTATTGCCTTTACGCATTAAGTTTGTGTGCGTGTGTCAGTAGCTTAAGTTGAGGCCAAATTTAACTTTTGTTCAATTTGTAAAGTTGAGAAATTTGTGGTCTTAATTTTTTGATTTTAATTTAATTTTTTTTTGGTTACTTTTGAATTTTCTGCAAGCAACATTTGGCGACCGTATTGGTTCATCCAGCCTGATGAGCAACAAATGTTCTTTATGAAGCCTTACAAGTTTTATTCAAGACCATTACAATATTTCCTTTTTATAATTAATTTAGCTTCAGTGAAGCATTTTCAACAAACTCAAGGGGCCAACGTTAGCTTAATTACAGCTAATACAAATGAGGTATAATGTGACGTGTGTTTTCATCAGCTCTTTTGCGTTCCTGATATCTACAATTGTTAGCATTGTCCAGTGCGTGTCATTGTGTAGTACGTTACAATACCTTGAGGCGCAGCCATTTATGAGTCATGTTTTTGAATCAATTTACAGTCAGAGACAAAGACAGAGAAGGGAAAAGAGACCCTGACGTTCTGAGCATAGCAGCCCCACTTTTGTAATGGCGGTCATACATTTTTTATTTTCTAAATGATTTATAGCAAATTTCTTAATGGATAAACTGTTAGAACTTTGCTAAACTCTCATTACAACAAAGGTTAAAATTGGTGCTAAAATCCCCTGCCGGTGTTAGCCATATTTGGCGAGTATGCCCTTTAAAAACCTCTCATATTTGACCTTTAACAACAGTAAAACAGACAGTTAAGGACAGTGGGGACTTTGTGATTCACCAAGCAGAATAACATCTCCCAAATGTGTACAATCTTGGAGGAAAGGAAGATGAAGAAAGCAAAAAATAATTCAGGTTGGATGCTTTGAACACATGTTTTACCCTGGTTGAATATTTGCCTTGGAATGAAAATGGCAGATAGAAAGAAGAGAGGAGAGCAGAACGGAGAAACTTCTTATCGATCACATCTTTATTTAAACAGCCAATAACCTTATTATCAGCAGTCTGAACAGTGATTATTCTCACAAATATATGTGCAAACAATGAAGTCTAAAGGCCCTGATGTAAATGTGGACAGCATACAAGCATTTCATTCTGTTCATATCACATTGTATTTGATAAGTCTGCACATTCAATTTCGTATGGCAGACCTATGGAGGCAAATCACTGTCAAAATTTGAGAGTGCAAATCAGGTTGATGCGCGCGTGTAAATCAAACATCCGCGAGCAAAAATTCATCTTGCGTGAGATATTTGCTCCCTCGCGAAACGTGAACTTCCTCGCTCGCGGGGTTAGTCTCTGCTCGCGCTCGAAGGTGTTTTCTACGCGCTCGCTGTTGTTCTTTCTGACAGTGAGGGGGCAGAGCCAGTGACCATGGTCTCTACATCTGCATGCATTCACACAACTATAGAAGCCAATTCTGCACTAAAGAAAGGGGATAGAAAGTCGAAATTATGAGATAAAACGTGGTCAAAAAACAAACGCCCCGCTTCGGTAATCGTAGTGGGCCGTAGATGACAACCAGCTACAACCATCATTTACCATCATTGCCGGCACATTAAGAGCAATGCGTCCAGCTCCCTGACCGGTCTGTCAGTCTGAATCTGAATATCTTGCCAACTTTACCGAACTATGGAGAA